GGTGAACTTAACTGATCGCCGCGATGATGATGATGATGATGATGATGATGATGATGATGATGATGAGGCCGATGCTGATGATGACGATGATGTTTTTGGCTCAATTGATTTTGACGATTCGGAAGATGTTGTTGATGATCATGACGATGATGTTTCGGATGATGATGTTGAGTATGATGATGATGATGATGATGTTGATGATCTTTCGGATACTGATTATGATGATGATGTGGAAGATGATGAGTATGATGTTTCCGATGGTGATGTTGCTGATCATGATGATAATGTTGATGAGGATGGTGACGCCGACCCGGATGACGATGATGATGATGATGATGTTGATGAAGCTCACTATGGTACAATGATGATACTGTTGCTGACGATGACGATGATGATGATGATTCGGATGAATTGGATAATGATGATGATGATAATGATGATGATGATGCCTCGGATGATGCTGATGATGGTATGGTTGATGACTTGGCTGATATAGATGACGATGATGATTCGGATGTTGATGATGTTGATGATGATGATGACGATGAAAATGACGATGATGATGAGGATCATGATGATGTTGATGATGATGATGATGCTGATCATGATCACGATGGTGATGATGATGATGATGATGATGATGTTGATGATGACAATGAAGATGATGTTCATGATGTTTATTATGTTGAAGATGATGATGATGATTATGTTGATGACGATGATGTTGTTCGTGATGTTGACGATGATGATAATGTTGATGCTGATGTCGAAAATGATGATGATGATGTTGCAAATGAAGATGATGATGATGGTGACGAGGATTATGCTGAAGATGATTATGATGATGATCATTCGGATGATGATGATGTTGATTATCATTCGGATGATGATGGGTATGTTGACGATGATGCTGATGATGTTGAGAATGATGATGATGATAATGAAGATGATGAAGTTGCGGTTGATGATTCGGATGATGAAGCTCATGATGAAGGTGATTAGAATGATGATGATGATGCTGATGATTTCGATGATGATGATGATGATGTTGATGATGATGATGATGATGCTGATGATGACGATGATTATAATAATGGGGATGATGTTGATGATGAAGATGATGTTGATGATGATGATGATGAAGATGATGATATTTCGGATGATGCGGATGATGACGATGACTATTACGATGATGATGATCCTGATTATGATGACGACGATGATTCGGATTGTGATGACGATGATAATGATTATGATGACGATGATGATGATGATGACGATGATGATGATGATGATGAAGACGATGGTAATGATGATGATGATGTTGATGATGCCTTCAATGATGATGATGATGTTAAGGATGATTATGATGATGATGATGATAACGATGATGATTCGGATGTTGATGATGACGATGACGATGATGATTATGATGATGATGTTGAGGATGAAGATGATGATGTTGAGGATGATGATGATGATTCGGATGAGCATGTTCATGATGATGATGATGATGATGATGCTGATGGTCATTCGGATGCTCGTGCTGATGATGATGATGTTGATGAGGCTCTGTATGAAACGATGATGGAAATATTGATGACGATGAAGATGATGATGATGATTCGGATGATGAATATGATGATGACGATGGTAAGGATAATGATGAGGAGGACGATGACGATGATGACGACAATGATGATGATGCTGATTATGATCATGATTATTCGGAAGATGATGATGGTGCTAATGCAGATGACGATCATGATGATGATTATGCTGATGTTGACGATGAGGGTGATGATGATGGTGATGATGATGATGATGAAAATGATGATGATGATGATGATGATGATGATGATTCGGATGTTGATGATGATGTTTTTGATGATGTTGAAGATGATGATGATGACGATGATGATCATGATCATGATGCTGATGGTGATGACGTTAATGATGATTATGATGTTTCGGATGATAGTTAAGATGATTCGGATGATGATGAGGTTGATTAGCATGATCACGATGTTGATGAAGATGATGCTGTTCATGATGATTTTGTTGATGCTGATGATGACGATGATAAAGAGGATGAAGATATTTCGCATGATGAGGAAAATGACGATGGTGATGATTATTCGGATGATGATGTTGGTGATACGGATGATGTTTCGGATTATAATGATTAAGATTACGATGATGATAATGATGATGATGATGAAGATGACCCGGATGATGATGGTGATGAGTAGGATGATGATGGTGTCGATGATGATGACGAAGACGATTCGCATGGTGAAGATGATGATGATTTTTATGATATTGATGTTGATGATGATTATGACGATGATGAAGATGATGATGACAATGAAGATGATGATCTTGATGACGATTATGATGAAGATGATGATGATGATGACGTTGGTGACGATGATGATGATGATGATGGTAATGATGATGATAATGATGATGATGATGTTGATGACGATGAGGATGATGA